GTCTTACGAGTGGCCCGGAGCTTCCGCGAAAGGAAACAAACAAACAAAATAGACAGTAGGGCCAAAAAAACTAATATTCATTCACTCTCGATTAGTTCCGCTCCTGAAAGGAGTGGAAAGGGAGCAGAACGCTGTCTAAAAACTCATTAGTTTAGCTTAGCGTAACGAACTAGAATCCTACTCCTCCCTTCATGCACAAATGTTGACAGGCTGCTGTTTTATTAGATAGCATTTCTTGAGACTCCTTTATCAGTTACGGCAGAAGATCATGGGAGGGCTGTAGGTATTTATGCTGTGTGTCCAGGAGGGCTGTTCTTACCATCTGCTGTTTTTCTCCCACCCTAGCTTTTGCACTCCGTGCTTGCAGGAATGTCTTAAGCCGAAAAAGCCAGTTTGTGGTGTCTGCCGCAGTACCCTGTCACCTGGCAGCAGAGCTCTGGACTTGGAAAAGCAAATTGAAACAACAGAAACCACTTGCAATGGCTGCAATAAAAAAGTATGAAAGTATTTGGCAATTAAGTGCATGAGGTGTGCCTGCTTGGCCATACTGCTTAGAAGGAAATGAAGTGCTTGTTCTTCAGCTTTCTGCAGAATCAGGTCAAAATGTTTGCCCTGATAAGTGCTAACGATATTTTATGTAGGAAGCACCCAAATGTTGACATTATTTCCACAGTTTATTGTTACATCTTCACAAAGTGAATTTCAAATGAAAGATACTGATTTTTAAATTGTATTGCTTCTGAAGTTGTCTCTGTGAGCACGTCTCTGTGGGAGGAATGTTGTAATGAAACAGTGGATGTGGGTTTTAGATAGTGATCTCTTTAGCTTTTAAACAGAAAATTATTTGCTTAATTTGAGATAGTTATGAGTCAAAGTTGTCTTATATGGGTGGTGTATTCCATAGACTTATTGTTTGTTAGTGTCCTGCATGTTGAACACCTGTGTGGCATCCTTCTAGTCATTTCCTTTCTCTTTGTAAAATTGGGCTTCTTAGCTTTAATTGAATGTATAAGAAGATATCTTAGCAGATGGCAGAACAACAAGAAAAGGATAATTAGTCACACTAAGGTGAGGGTAACAGTTCAGTTAATTTCATTTTTTTATTTTTGGGTAGTGTCTTCATTCCAGCTGATAGAAAACTGTAGTGCCATAGTTACAGATGTCCTTGTTGTAAATCTGAATTTTCGTTAATGGGATTGAACAATTAGCAATCAGTCTACACCAAGATCTGTACTAAAAGCCAAATTAGTTTTTCATACACCCTCTCTTCTCATTGACCAGGTAAACTGGCTTTATATGAAGGACTTTTTTTTTTTAAACTATACTACAGGTTAAAAAAAGTGAGCTGTCCTGAACAGTGTTGTACTTGTAAAATATTACAGGCAGCAAAGTTACAGGTTAACTAATCTATAATCTCAAAGCTTTCTGCCTCACCAGCTGAAGCGTTTGGGTTTTCCCGCTTTAACACTGTCTGCAGAAAGCGGCTTTGTTTTACTCCTTTACCGCTTCTGCTTAAAAGTGTAAAAGTGACTGTAAATAGTTTAAATTAACCTCACAATGCAACTGTTGCCCACACAGATGTATCTCTCAAAGATGCGTAGCCATGCAGCTTCTTGTTCGAAGTACCAGAACTATATAATGGAGGGTGTAAAAGCTGTAACTAAAGAACCACTTCATAACACCAGGTAACTAGCTCTTCTCTGGAAACACTTGTCTTTTTTTGTCACAAAACCATGACTGTTACTGATTAATCATTATAAAATCTCAATTTTGATTCTTCTAGGAAGAGTCCTTTTATCTTTAAAAAATTTTAACTGCATTATGGGGTTTCACGCAAACTGTAGAATTTTGGATTAAAGCAGACTTTACATCTTCGTTCAGTTTGGGTATTGTTTTAATCCTCTCACATTGGTAAAAACTAAGCCTTAATCCTGCATCTGACTCTGCACATGCAAACTGTTCTGCTTTCTACATAGTCCATGCACTAGGCATCTTAAAGATCAGGGTACTCAGTAAAAGTAGCTATTTTTTAAATAAAAACTTTCTTTCTGTCTGTTGATTGTAGTAACTTACAATGAAGGGAGGCTGCAATTGATTGCAGTGCATTCACCTGCATTGTTGCAGAGTGGTACCTTGTGTATTTTTTAAAAAAAAGGTGACTAGCATTTATAACATTTGTAGAAGAGCTCTCATTCTGTGTAAATATGGATGATATTAAGAGTTCCTTAAGCTATTGTTGGGAATTAAAAAGTTGATTCTTAAAATTAGCTCGTCTTTATTGCATAGAATGAGACTATTACTTTAAATTATTTGTATTCTTGAGAGCTGGTAAGACAACTTCTGAGTATTGAATCCTAAAGCTTTTACTTTCAACTTTCTTACAATGACAAATAACCTCTTTCTCTTCCTCCCACAACCAGGAACTTCCCAAATCGCTTTACCTTTCCTTGCCCGTATTGCAGCGAGAAAAACTTTGATCAAGAAGGACTAGTTGAACACTGCAAAACATTGCACAGCATGGATGCAAAACAAGTGGTAATAAAAAGTCTTGGTGCAAGAATTGCAATGAAGTCTAGTCTTAAATCCCTTTGAAACAATGAATTAGAGACTTACTCTTGAAGTTAAGTACATGTTTATAATTACTCCTGTTAAAGTCAAATGTGGGTATGCTGCTTGTGCATTTATCGCTTACATAATTTTGATGTTGGCTTTCGATACATTCTCTGGAGGTGACTAGTCTCTCTTTCTATTGCAGCTAGGTCACATCCTCCTTTCATATTTGAAAAATGGCAGACATTCATAGTTAATTAGGCACAGTAACAAACATAAAATTAAAAAGATATGATTTTTTAAAAATGTCAGGCATTTAATTTTCCCCTCTGCTGTTTTCAGCAAGAAGAGGACATAAATCATTAGGGAAAATGCTTGCAAAAAATAGTCTATCATTCTAGTAATCTTTATCTGCTGATACTCCCTCTCATATAAAAGGAATTGCAAAATATGGAACTGAATTTGAAACTGATTTTTCTGGAAAGTTTTTTGGAATTCCAAATTATCTATAAAAATGTTTTGGGTTTTTTTTCCCCTTGGAGAGAGGTGATCTTTGCAAAGGAGAGCAAGTAAACTTTTCTGTTACTGAGAAATAAAGGTTGAAATCTTCCAAAGCAAACAGCTGTAGTCAGTTCTGGTTTTCAGAATGTAGAGAGAAGAGTAAGCCATTCCAGTTCAGACGTCTAAGGCTCGAATTAAAATTAATCGGGTTTATCTGAGTCTTTTGTATTAAATGTCCCAGCAAACTAATTGACATCACTTTGCATGTAGAATAGGGATTGTCACAAACCTCGAACTTCCCTCTTCTATGCTGTCTCTGTCCTGCCCTTTCTACTATAAATGTTAGAGCACTTAACCAGTGGGGCTTAATTGGCTTTTTTGGGTTTTTCTTGAAGGTTTGCCCAATTTGTGCCTCAATGCCATGGGGAGATCCAAATTACAGGAGTGCTAATTTCATGGAGCACCTTCAAAGACGACATCGCTTTTCGTATGATACTTTTGTGGTATGTGTTTCCTCACCCTTGGAATACAGCTTGATGACTCTTAAAACACAGCTTTTTTACATAGCCACTACTGTGAAATCTCATCCATGCAGATGGTATCATGAGAGAAATTGGATTTTTGGCAAGTCAAAGGAGGAGACAGCTTTTTTTTCTGTTCTTATTTGGTGTTATATTAACCAGCATGGCTGTTGCAGTAAAAGAATTTCTGTACCCTTTGTTCATAGGATTATGATGCTGATGAAGATGATATGATGGCACAGGTTTTGATGCGTTCTTTGCGGGATAAATGAACCAACTAGAAGATGAACTGTAAAACCAAGCTTCCATGAGGGGGAAATGCCCAGCATCCTCACAGTTCTCCCTGTACATCCCAAGATGAACTCAGGCATCCAGAAAAACGGAAGGCTTTTTAATCCGTATCTCAGTTTCAAGTGCTGGTTTGATATTTCTGTACCACTCAGTCTCTTGTTAACACGGTCTATGCCATTCAACCCTGTCAGCCGAATTTTCTTACTTGCTTCACACAAAGCTTAATTGTAGGTCATCATGGAGAGACAAATCTGTTTTCTTTTACCAATGCCTGTTTCTTGGGTTTTTTTGCAGTTGTGTTCATCTGACTGTCAAAAGACAAAAACATTCCAAATGGAATGGCCTGAACTAGTTAATAAATATCTCTTCCCAATCTCATTTACATATCTTAAATGACAGTGAGAGAGGTGTATTTGTAGCTCTGTTTTCCTTTAGTGAGACCTCTAGGTGCTAACTGTAATTGTCAGACCAGCTCATTTAAAGTGACCTATGATGCCTGTGATTTCGTAACGTTTCCTAGTGTTTAAATTCTTACATGCAGCCTCTCCACTATATGGAAAACACGTCTTCAGTATGAGTCTTCAAACTACAAACTTTCTTACCAAATCTTTGCATCTGTGCAAGCAACTAGTTCAAAATATTTTAGTTCTATGCATGATTATTACCTTCTGTCATACTTTGACCATAATTTCTAGCCTGGAAAATAAACTTTAATGTTGGTCTTAGTTAAAATGCATCATTTTTTAACTATCTTAGCAAATATTAATCATATTTGCTGGCTTTATGGTTAAATTGGTGGTTTTGAGACTGGTTTTCTGGTGATTTTATGCTTAGGCTGGTAGGGGAATTCAGAAGGTTTTTTTGATACCTCTGTTTTCTATTTAAACTAAAATTTTCCTATATATTCCTAGTTTTTCCATCTCTCAAGGCATCTGGTAGCAAAACTTACCAATAATTCATAGCACTTGCATAGCACTACCTTTCTGCATTACAGGTAGTAGAACAGATATTTTTAATTCCTGTTCTTCATTTAAATGTTGCTAAAGTAGCTGAAGCTGTACTTAGATTGTTTTCCATATATTATTGTGTGTGTCATATGCAGGTATAGCTTTCAAAGAAAAAGTAAAATATAACCCAGAAGGCGGGCAACAGTTCCCGTACATGGTAAATGGATACTCTGTATTCAAGTCTACACTTTTACTATAGAGAATCCTTTTTAGTTTAAGGTTTTCGTTAACTGCACAGTCAAGATGCTGAGATCTAATGATCTAAGACACCTGACCAGAACTTGTAAATCACAGTAGTGTTGAGATATCTAGTCTAATTTAAACATGTTTAATTGGAGCAGTGGACCTGCACCACCACAGAATTGAGTACTAATTAATTTATTTGACCAGTAAACTTAGTATCATCACACTCTGCAGACTGCAGCATAGCCTTACCCTTAAAACAATGAAATGCACCCCAGCTAAAACCTCTTGATTAAACTTTGTGTCCAGCCAGACCTCTAACATATTTAAGTTGAACTTGGTTTTAGTATGATTTCCCCAATTTGGTATGGGCTATTATAGACTCATCCTTAAGTATCTGCTTGGTGACTGGAAGCTCAGTCTTGGGGGATGGGGCGGGGGGGAATCTCATGGTACTGTGGAAAAAGTACTGTGTTTGGGGCTGGTTATTTTTAATGCTTGATCTGCAAAGAGATTACAGTGTATTGGTGGTTGGATGGGGATTTCTGGGTTCTGGCTAGAACACAGTTTGGTGATACTCATTGACCAGAATCTAGATTTCTGCTACTAAGTGCACTTCCATGCAATTCTGATAAAATGTTTAAGGAGCAGTTAGCAGCTTCCGAGCAATTACTTTGTCATGTTTTTGACTTTTGAAGACAAGTTACAAATAAAGGTCATTTAAGTTATAAAATCCTATCTTTGTGTCAGCTCTTGTCATTTCTTCCTTGTGGTCCATACGTTTCATTTCGGTACCTCCCTAAAAACACTGCTTGCCAGCTGTGTAACGCTGCAGGGAGCGCAATAGACATTGAGAGACTTCAACTTTTGCCTTCCATTAAATATTTTGTACTGATTAGTTGCAACTTTATATCTTTCAAACAGTGGGCCACACAGGTTATGAAATAGTTCAGATTGAGTTCTGAGCAAGTTCTGCTAGAGCTGGCCAGAATACCACAGGTACAGTCTTCTATGTGTGTACTCCTGTAAGCCATAGAAACAAATTCCCCTTGAGTTTCTTGCTAAATGGGGAAAGTGTGACTGTCCAGCAGGGCTTTTCTGTTGAAGTCTTGACATCTCCCATAGCTTTAACTCCTCTGGCTGTCAAGTCTGTGATGCTTACATCCTTGTGCTGTCCTCTGTTTAGGTAGCTCCAAACAAGGAGGTGAAGGCTGGCTTGCAGCAATGACCAGTCAGAAATTGCTGGTGCTGAGTGATTGTACCCTAACTGTCTGTGCAGACCCATTCCTTGACTATGCAACTTGGGTTTGATTTTCGTCAATTTATTACTTGGGAATTATTTCACAGAAGGTGCAGAAAAAATACTGTCTGGAAAATGCATGCTAATTCTACTTTAACTTTGATCGCATTAGTGTAGGAGCAGGAAGCGATGTCCTGGCACCTGCTAGCTTGGTAACAGCAGAATTCACAGTGCTGCTTTCCATGCTGTGATGAGCATCCATAGAACTGCTCGGAGATAAACCTAGCCATAGACTCCCACTTACTCCAGCTGATGAAGAGCTTTCTATCTCTTTGCTGATGACTTCATCCACTTAACAAACACAAATGTGTTCATGCATGCTGTGATATGTCTTACTGATATTTGCCGGTTGTTTTTACAAAGGCATTCTGCTGAGAGGCGCATGTGTTCTGTGTATAGCCTTGATTCATTGCGTTTGTGTGCAGAAACTTGTGAGGAAAAAAAGCCTTATTATAGAACAAGCTGGTTTGGGCTTCTAAATCCAGTGGAGTGTCACTGCAGAAGAGTGAAGTACTCTGCCACTGGTGCTCTCACCTCATCAGCAGCTGATCCTGTCGCGGCAGCACATCCCAAGTGCCCATTGTTGGTGATAATGCAATCGGGCCACCTTGGACCTGTGAAATTCCCAGTGTCTGGCACAGGGAGTCAGCCTTAGGAAGGCGATTAGCACAGAGGGGGAGAGGGATGGAATGGGAGGAGACAAGCTTGTGGTTGAGCTTTGCTTTTTTTTTTTTTTTTTTAAAGATGAATCTGTCTCTGGTCAAAGACTGGCCTTAATAGGTCTGATAAATTGTTGTCAGCATTAATTGCCTAACACAGGCATCACTTAACCTGGAATTACAGCAATAAATCCCCCTGGTCTCCTTACACTGCGGGGATGAGATCTTGTAAAGGATTGCATCTATAATCAAGCATTAATGGTATATTCTGGATCCTCATGCCACCTGACTGACAAAGGCACAGCAAATTTGCTTTGAGGTCTTTGGCCAGCTCTACCAAACGGTCACTGGTAAGACCAGCGCAAGAAGGATTAACCTCTCACGCAATACTGAGGTACGTTAGGTTGTGGTAAAGCAAATGAGGGATGTGCTCACAGTCCTAAAGCTTTTCTTTAGTTTAAACATACTAAAAATATCAATGGGGCATTTGCCTGTTTTGAGGGTGAGGTTTTGTTTTTCTAATCCAGAGCTTCATGTCACAGTTGCATTGGTCTGTGCTTCATTCTTCAAAAGCAACTCGTTTTTTATGGGTAAACTACATTATTCTCCAGGTGATACAAGCAAGGACTGTTGAAACCACTATGAAAACTTCCTTTTCCTTCCCCACTCCTTCCCCAAAACTCCAGAAAATACTCGGCACTTAGTGAAAATAAGTGTCATCACTACAGGCTTGGGTCTCTCTTCTAGTTCTCACATTTGTCTTTACCTAGCACTCAGACACTGGGCTTTATAAAAATAATAGTGGAGCATCTGGGAGCTGCTTTAATACCCCCATGCGATGAGGTTCCCTGCCATAACGCGGGCGTAGGGGCGAGGAGCCCACCCTGGCTGCTGCAGCACAGGAGCGGTGGCCGGCACGGCCTACGCTGACAGCAGAGGGAGGTCTTGCATTTTGGAGAGAACGGGGCTCGCACCTCCTGGCCCTGTGCTCGTCCCCGTCCTCCTCCACCGGGCTCAGGGCCCTGTGGTGGGTTTCAGGGCGCTTCTCTGGCCTTGCAGTGAGGGTGCACACCTCATCCCCACACCTCATGGCCAGAGCTTCCCTTCGCCCCATCACAGCCTCCCTTGGTGGCAGGAGCTTTGCTCTGCAGCAGGTTATTGGAGATGCTTCTTGTAGCCATGGGGCGAAAGGCGGCAAAACCAGGAATCTGCAGCAGACTTGCTGCTCTGGCGGTGGTTGATGTGTGCTGGCGAGCTCCTTGGGTCAGCCCATGTGGCTCTGGGACTGGAGCTGTGCCATGGGCGGGTGGCAGGGCTGTGCTGACCACCCTGGGGCTCAGCTGCTGCCAGAGCCCGGTGCTCCAGTGCAGGGCGGGACAGCTGAGAAACCACTGCCATTTCCAGCCTGTGAATCATTGCAGAGCTTCCCCCCGCCCCGGTCTCCTGCTCTCCGTCCCATAGCCTTCTGGCTCACGAGCGCAGGCAGGTCAGATCGCTTTCTCCCTTGATCTTGATTTTTCCTCTAGCACATGCAAGTTTTTTCCACGCGTGGTGGTTGGAACAGATCTGATTATTAACATTTCAGAAAGAACAGAGGAGCAGGCTTTGCTTCTTGAAAGAAAACCGCATAGTTGGGTTCCTCGTACAAGTGTCCCCAGCGTAACCACATCCGCGGCAGGTGGAGGAGTGAGGGGGCACCTGCGGCAGCACCCAGGCTGCTGCCCCTTGCACCACGGGGTGCTGTGCTTCTGCACCCCTGCAAGAAAGGGGGTGGACGTGGCCTCTGTGATTTGCAGCCCCTGAGGCCTTTGGGGGCACAGTTTCCCCTGAAGTTCAGGCTGACCCAGGGATCGGTTGTGCAGATAAACACCTGCTGAAAGCCAGGGGCCATTCTGCGGTGAAGGAGGGACA